TATATATATATATATATATACACAGTCAAACCAAAAATTATTCAGTCACCAGATAAGCTATAATTTTTTATATTTTTTTACTAGTGGGTGCAGGACACTATAGTTCATTTATGTAAGTGATTATATCAAAATAAAGTAAACTCTGACATATTATACACACAAATTCTTCATACAGTGGACTACCAGTAAAATTGATAAAAATGTATTACAGTGTGATTAATAAGCAAACAAATACACAGAATACATAAATACTGGGTCAAATAATCACTTTTAACTAGATTTAATACTTTTCAGCATTGATTGAATTGCAGATACATTTATCTCATATCATCTACCATTTTGGATTTTGTTTTTTTAAATTGAGCTTGTTGCAGTGCATCATGGGATTGTAGTGTTTTTTTATTTTTTTTATTTTACCAATGTGACTTCAAGTTTTTCAAGATGATATTACTTGTTTATTTTCATTTGTACACTGTGAAAAAGATTTTTCGAAGTTGCTAAATAATACAACTTCAGTCTTTCTACTTAAAAATTTTACATTTAATAATAATAAAAAAAATAATGAAATAAAAATTAAAACAAATACATAAATATTAAAAATAAAATAAATAGTAACAAAAATTTTGTTTATTATTTCTGTATTTTATTTTAATATTTGTTTTTTTTTGTTTTTGTAATATAATTTAATTTTTTATTACATGTAATTGATATTGTTTTAATATTGTATTTTTTGTTTATTTTTTTATCTTGCTATATAGAGGTTGTCGAACCAATGACTCGTTACAAATATTAGTGTAAATGGCTAATAACCTCCCAAAATATGTGAAATTTAATAGCAGTTTCTGAATGAAAATTGTTTCACATGTTTCGGTGTATAAAGGAAAGTTTATGTCTGATCTCCATAAAATTCTAAGATAAGCAGCTTCATTATACATTACTAATAATGAATGATCGTGATGATGAAAATAAGAAAATAAAACGGCTGTAATGGCAATACTTAAAGTAAACATGCTTTAGAATTTGGCCAAAGCAAAGTTGTTTACAGTTGCCAAGCAACAGAACATTCCAATGACAGGCACATTAGAATTCTGCTGACACGGGGTCAAATTCAAATACGGCCCGTCCAGTCAGAGTTCGGAATTGGAACAGTTTGTTGATATGTGATACCGTGTGTGTTTTGTGTGTGTGTGTTTTCAGGGTGAGGAGGGGCCGCCCAGTCTGGAGTACATTCAGGCCCGGGACCTGTTCCCCCAGAAAGAGCTGGTCAAAGAAGACGACGCTCTACAGGTCAGTTTCACGCCTGATGTCTGCTTTCTCCCATGCTGAGTTTCATCTCACATGTTCGTTCTCTGTAAAGAAAGTGGGTTAACACTCCTCACACACACACACACACACACACACACACGTCTGTCCTCTGCGCTGAAATGTGTGTGAAAAGACAATCAAATGAGAGGTCTGGGGAAGACGGTGGGTAACATGTGGAGGTGAAAAGAGTGAAATTGATCAAAAGGACAAAGCAATGACACAGACACAGCGGGGACATCCAGAGACCAGACACGGGAACAAGAGCGCAAGAGCTTGACATTGACTCTTATTCAGTGACTTTGCACAAACATACGAGTCTAAATGTAGCACTTAATGTCCATGTATTTCAGTTACTTTCTTAATATACAGTATGTTCCTGGTCTTACTGTGATCAATTTATGAATGCATATTATATTAAGGTTTTTTGTTTGTCAGTGTAAAACTCGCCACTATGACGTTAGAGCGTTGTGAAGACGACAGTCTCATAGACTCGATTCTGGACACCATCTGACCTAGCAGTCAAAAACACCCTAGCAACAGCATGTTGAATAACAAGCTCAAAAAATAGTGGTGGGACTATATTCTATTCTATTCTATTCTATTGTAATTCTATTCTATTCTATTTTATTTTAATATTTATTATATATTTGTTTTAGTTTATATTTTATTTATTTTTGTTTAATTTTATTCATTTTTATTTTGTTTTATATTATTTTATTGTAATATTTATTTTGTATTTGTTTTTATTTTTATATGCTTTTAATTAAATGTAATTTTATAATTTTAATATTTAATGTTTATTTTTTGTATTATATAATTGTTTTTATATCTCGCTATATAAAGGTTGTTGAACCAGTGACTCATTACAAATATTAGTGTAAAAAATAAATTAAAATAAAAAAAACAACAAAAAATATATTAAAATGAAATAATATAAAATAAAAAAACTAAATAATTACAAAATATATTTTAATTTTATTTTATTATTTGTTTTCAGTTTTCTATTTTTATATAATTATAATATATAATTTAAATTTCTATTACATTTAATTTATTGTTATTTTAATATGATATTTAATTTGTGTTGTATTTTTTTATCTTCCTATATAGAGGTTGCCAAAACAGTGACTTATTACAAATATTTGTGTAAATGGCTCATAACTTCGCAGGTTTCGGTGCCATGCCTGAGCGATCGATTTGTCCTCTAGTTCTCCGAAACAGACGTAAAGAAGCATCATCACCGGCACCGCATGTGAAAAATTATTTCCCGACTGAGAAAATGCACGTGAACCAGTCGGAAAGCTCTAATAATACAAATCCAACACATAAAAAGAATACATCGATTAGCAATAGATTATAAATTAGGGTGACCATATGTCCTCTTTTGCCTGGACATGTCCTCTTTTTGGACCTACAAAAATGTGTCCGGCCGGAATTCCTTAATCGCCCAAAATGTCCGGGATTCGGCTGTTTTCTTAATCCCACTCCCCTGAATCTCTGACCATTGACGCCTGCTCCCGCAACATGTGTTTCGCTCCCGTGATTTTCGTGTCCACTCCTTTAAACATACTAATATTGTGTATAATTTTGGCGCATCAGGGAGCCGCTCTCAGGATGCGGTGTATTTAAATATTTTTTAATGAGCGTTTGCGCTGTTTACTTTCACTTTCGATTTCACGATCACGCACTCTGTGTAAAGAGAGCACATCTTACAAGATCAGATATTCGTCAATGAGCTCAGGATCTGTTCAGCAGCAAATACTCCAGCATGGTCTTGTCAGTCATCTCTCCTTATTCTCGACCTGTGATCAGTCAAATCAACTGTTTACATTCTCTTAATAGCCGCGTTACAAGGAATCAGTAGAAATATGAGCAATCCTGTGCTGAAATTCAAGCCCTGCTCTGCGAGGGATTCAACCGAGCTGCCAAAAAGTCCAGAAGGACTGACGGGGGCGTTCAAAAGGACGGGCTTCTCTGCATCCTTCATATACGTCAGCGTTAGCCATAGGTGCCTGTCCAGCACAACCAGGTTACCCATGGCACGGCCGCCCACGAACCCCACCCCCTACTGTCCTTTTTTTGGAAAACTAAAATATGGTCACCCTATTATAAATATACTTAATTATTATGAAAATACCAGAGATGGCTTAAATAACACAGATAAACTCTATTGTCGCAGTCGAGTGATTCAAAACGTTTATATGTTCTGTTTACTCAGTTACAGATATAATAGCTATGCCTTTGTCCATATAAGGGATTTCCTGGAGGGTCATGAGTTCTCTACTTCTGTGACTGGATATGTGTATTTTCTGTCCAAGGCCGCCCTCTGGCGTCCAGTATGAATGAAACGGACATCATGTGTTTATAGTGCTAATGGCCAATCCATCATTTTTGGGGGGAATTTTTTTTTACTTTTTTTTTTTATAAGTATCGGTTTAGGCACCGGAACCGTTTTAAAAGTATCGATTTGGCACTGGTATCGAAAAAAATAAAACGATACCCAACCCTAGTGTGGATTACTGTTTTTATCAGCTGTTTGGACTCTCATTCTGACGGCACCCATTCACTGCAGAGGATCCATTGCTGAGCAAGTGATGCAATGCTACATTTCTCCAAATCTGATGAAGAAACACATTTTCAGCTCATTTAGATTTTTGGGTGAACTATTCCTTTAAAGAGATTTCATCATTTATATAAGATAATCATATGCATTCAGTTGCATTGAGATGCAAATGTAAAGATGTGCACGTCATTGTTGAATGGCACATTTTACCTTGTGTTTTAGCATGTTCATATCTGTTTAGTGAACAGTGCCATGAATCTGTGCTCATAAATGATGTATATTGCATCCTAGAGGAGCAATGACTCTTTCGCTATCTTCGCCAAAGCATAAAATCCAGTCATCTGTAACGCAAGCATCCTCCTGCGCTGGGATTTGAGTCTGATTCTGAGTCATACAGCCTTCAGTGTTTGTTTGCTGGACTGTTTGGAGCTGTGGCTTTTACACGTCTTTGCGTGTGTCCTGCTCGTGCTGTGTTGAGTTCTCCGTTGCGTTCGCTGTCAGGCTCTCTCTGTGAAGTTCAGCAGTAGGAGTCGTTCTCCCAGCGCTCACCTGATCCCTTTGAAGCCTCGCTGCTTTCATGCCACGCAGAGTGTCACTTGGTTGGCATGCAGCTTCTTGAATTATGGATGCGGTTTTTCATAGATCAGCATTACAGCCGCAGAATGCACCAGCACTTACAGATGCCATGATGTTGTATTTCTCTCTACACCTTCTGCACTTTATAGCATTTTTATTTCTCCCTGAAGTCTACTTATCATGTAAGTCAAAGATTCTTGCAGCAAAATATCCATTGTTTAGTTTTTCATGACCATATAATGCAATCTCTGATTTTGCTGCTGTACCTTTAAGACTTCTGTATATAAATGACATCTGAAAGAGAAAGTCATTTCAGAGAGCAAGTTATTACATTTTGATGAAAGATGATGAAAAGCAATCTTTTATTTAATTTGGAGTAACATGCACTTTTTGTGCATGACTTTATGTGCATTTACATATTTACTTACATATTTGTCTGTTTTTGACCATTTTGTGCCATCTCTGATTTTGTTACTGTACCTTTAAGACTTCTGAATATACACAACCTCTGTTGTGATTGGTTAACCTCTGCTTACCTAATTTATTCATCAGGTCACTGACTATGTATTGATATGTAAATATGGGTCAGCGTATGTTAATGAGCTCATGGTTGTGATGTCATATTCATGACAAGTGATTCTCTGAACTCTATAGCGCAACTACCAGTGTTAAGTATTTATTATATATATAAATAATCAAAGGACACATTTAATTTATAATTTGTCTCAAATATCATTTTGTTAAAAAAAAGAGTGAATTAAATCGAATCGTGAAATCAAAATCGTGAATTGAATCGAATCGTGAGTTGAGTGAATCGTTACATTCCTATAAATTACTCTACAAACATACACCCTTGTTTACATTTGTGTGTTGCTCGGCAACTCTGTTGGAACCACAACTGATTCTGAGGAACTACATTGTTTGGCTGAAGAATAATGTTTTTATTAATATCATTACACTTTATTTGCTCTGTTATTCTGTGAAACCTTACTACGTTTATGGAATAACCGTTTTATAAAAGCAATAATCCCCGTGAAGCCGACCAGGCTTTTATTTTGACGGGTTGTCCTGAAAGTCTTTCATTTTACCTTTTCGTTTCAGTGTGTATTTCTTCTCAAATGAAGTGACTCTTAGAGCAGCTCTGGAGATGAAGTTCATGTGTTCATGTCCTCATATTGAGACACAGACGCTGAAATCACCGCGAGCGTAAACCGAACCCGTGCCATTCATTCACACAGAGAGACACACAGAGCATGCAGAGCTCGACTGACAGGCTGTTGTCCAGAGCTTATCAATATATCATCATTCAGTCCTGTAAATTTTACATGTGTTTTCCTGTCTCTCCAGGTCCCGTTCCCTGTCCTGCAGGGCGAGTGGGTCGAGTTCCTGGGCCGTGCGGGTGACGATATCATCGCCATCTCCAACTACAGACTTCACATCAAATTCAAAGACTCCATCATCAACGTAAGAGCAAACAGCAGCACAAGAAAGAGCGAGCGAGCGAGAGAGTACAGCTCGCTGAATTACAGTACAGCCTCTGCTTCACCTCCTTTGATAGCCGTCCCAGCTGAGGGGCTCGTCTCCTCTTATCCCAGTGAAAAGAGCCGTTCTCTGAACACAGTTTGATTTCTCTGATCTCAGCAGCTCTTGACCTCACAGCTCTGGAGGTCTGAACACAGAGTGAGCTCTTTCTTTTCACTCGCAGCCTCCCTGACGTCAAGCATGTAAACTGCTGCTGGCGTCGCTGTTGTGCCTTTAGCCAAGTTGAAGTTTAGATTCCTTTCAAGTGTGGTTTGTGCAATTTAAATATAAAATACACGTGTTCAGGAAAAACTGTTTTGAAACAGACATATTTTTCCAATTAACATAGCATGATCATAAATATTAATGCAATCATATAATATTTAAATATTTAAATGTACGTATGTGTGTGTGTGTGTGTATATATATATATATATATATATATATATACACACACAG